AAATTAGCAGAATGTTGAAAATTATATTTTGTCTAAAAAAGAAGCTGGAAAGCCATTGCTAAAAAACTAGAAAACGAGTTTGTAGAATAGTACAAATAGGGACAGTAAATTTACCGTCCATCATAATGAAATGTGTCACGCAAAACATTTTTAAAGAGAAAAGTAACAAGGTCAGCAGAGTTAAAAATATTGTCTCTTCTAAAGTTAACTTTATTTATTTCAGTACAGTTTATTTTTGTTAGTACAGTTTGTATGATGTAAGTCACATTAAATGTAAAGTGTGTAGAACATGAGGCCACACATTAGTACATTTTATATTATACAAACATTCAACCATTTAGAGACGTGTACAAATAAGTTATGTTGTCTAATGAAGTTTTCTTGTGGTCTTTCCCTTGTCTTCCTCACTATTATTTTTACTCTCCTTATTGGATGTGCATTATCTACAAAGGAAAATGTATACGATCATCTCACCCGGAGTATTGTTGATGTATACGATCATCTCACCCGGAGTATTGTTGATGTATACGATCATCTCACCCGGACTGTTGTTGATGTATACGATCATCTCACCCGGACTGTTGTTGATGTATACGATCATCTCACCCGGACTGTTGTTGATGTATACGATCATCTCACCCGGCCTGTTGTTGATGTATACGATCATCTCACCCGGCCTGTTCTTGATGTATACGATCATCTCACCCGGCCTGTTGTTGATGTATACGATCATCTCACCCGGACTGTTGTTGATGTATACGATCATCTCACCCGGACTGTTGTTGATGTATACGATCATCTCACCCGGCCTGTTGTTGATGTATACGATCATCTCACCCGGACTGTTGTTGATGTATACGATCATCTCACCCGGACTGTTGTTGATGTATACGATCATCTCACCCGGAGTATTGTTGATGTATACGATCATCTCACCCGGCCTGTTGTTGATGTATACGATCATCTCACCCGGACTGTTGTTGATGTATACGATCTCACCCGGAGTATTGTTGATGTATACGATCATCTCACCCGGACTGTTGTTGATGTATACGATCATCTCACCCGGACTGTTGTTGATGTATACGATCATCTCACCCGGAGTATTGTTGATGTATACGATCATCTCACCCGGACTGTTGTTGATGTATACGATCATCTCACCCGGAGTATTGTTGATGTATACGATCATCTCACCCGGACTGTTGTTGATGTATACGATCTCACCCGGAGTATTGTTGATGTATACTATCATCTCACCCGGACTGTTGTTGATGTATACGATCATCTCACCCGGACTGTTGTTGATGTATACGATCATCTCACCCGGACTGTTGTTGATGTATACGATCATCTCACCCGGAGTATTGTTGATGTATACGATCATCTCACCCGGACTGTTGTTGATGTATACGATCATCTCACCCGGAGTATTGTTGATGTATACGATCATCTCACCCGGACTGTTGTTGATGTATACGATCATCTCACCCGGAGTATTGTTGATGTATACGATCATCTCACCCGGACTGTTGTTGATGTATACGATCTCACCCGGAGTATTGTTGATGTATACGATCATCTCACCCGGACTGTTGTTGATGTATACGATCATCTCACCCGGACTGTTGTTGATGTATACGATCATCTCACCTGGCCTGTTGTTGATGTATACGATCATCTCACCCGGCCTGTTGTTGATGTATACGATCATCTCACCCGGCCTGTTGTTGATGTATACGATCATCTCACCCAGACTGTTGTTGATGTATACGATCATCTCACCCGGCCTGTTGTTGATGTATACGATCATCTCACCCGGCTTGTTGTTGATGTATACGATCATCTCACCCGGCCTGTTGTTGATGTATACGATCATCTCACCCGGACTGTTGTTGATGTATACGATCATCTCACCCAGACTGTTGTTGATGTATACGATCATCTCACCCGGCCTGTTGTTGATGTATACGATCATCTCACCCGGCCTGTTGTTGATGTATACGATCATCTCACCCGGCCTGTTGTTGATGTATACGATCATCTCACCCGGACTGTTGTTGATGTATACGATCATCTCACCCGGCCTGTTGTTGATGTATACGATCATCTCACCCGGCCTGTTCTTGATGTATACGATCATCTCACCCGGCCTGTTGTTGATGTATACGATCATCTCACCCGGACTGTTGTTGATGTATACGATCATCTCACCCGGCCTGTTGTTGATGTATACGATCATCTCACCCGGCCTATTGTTGATGTATTCGATCATCTCACCCGGCCTATTGTTGATGTATACGATCATCTCACCCGGCCTGTTGTTGATGTATACGATCATCTCACCCGGCCTGTTGTTCATGCATATCTGGAAACGTACCGGACCCAGGATGGATACCGTGGAGACTACTACTCTTTCACTATATGTCTCTTGATCTCTTATCCCTGTCTAGTCTTCCAATTCGTGGGCTAACCTCCTGTGGAGGACAGTTTTAAATGTTCCACCATTCCCCTTAATATCTTCTCTAATATCTTACATAAAGGGTAGACAGAAAAGTCTTCGCATCCATTATTTTTTTTTTTATTATCACACTGGCCGATTCCCACCAAGGCAGGGTGGCCCGAAAAAGAAAAACTTTCACCATCATTCACTCCATCACTGTCTTGCCAGAAGGGTGCTTTACACTACAGTTTTCAAACTGCAACATTAACACCCCTCCTTCAGAGTGCAGGCACTGTACTTCCCATCTCCAGGACTCAAGTCCGGCCTGCCGGTTTCCCTGAACCCCTTCATAAATTTTACTTTGCTCACACTCCAACAGCACGTCAAGTATTAAAAACCATTTGTCTCCATTCACTCCTATCAAACACGCTCACGCATGCCTGCTGGAAGTCCAAGCCCCTCTCACACAAAACCTCCTTTACCCCCTCCCTCCAACCTTTCCTAGGCCGACCCCTACCCCGCCTTCCTTCCACTACAGACTGATACACTCTTGAAGTCATTCTGTTTCGCTCCATTCTCTCTACATGTCCGAACCACCTCAACAACCCTTCCTCAGCCCTCTGGACAACATTTTTGGTAATCCCGCACCTCCTCCTAACTTCCAAACTACGAATTCTCTGCATTATATTCACACCACACATTGCCCTCAGACATGACATCTCCACTGCCTCCAGCCTTCTCCTCGCTGCAACATTCATCACCCATGCTTCACACCCATATAAGAGCGTTGGTAAAACTATACTCTCATACATTCCCCTCTTTGCCTCCAAGGACAAAGTTCTTTGTCTCCACAGACTCCTAAGTGCACCACTCACCCTTTTCCCCTCATCAATTCTATGATTCACCTCATCCTTCATAGACCCATCCGCTGACACGTCCACTCCCAAATATCTGAATACATTCACCTCCTCCATACTCTCTCCCTCCAATCTGATATCCAATCTTTCATCACCTAATCTTTTTGTTATCCTCATAACCTTACTCTTTCCTGTATTCACCTTTAATTTTCTTCTTTTGCACACCCTACCAAATTCATCCACCAATCTCTGCAACTTCTCTTCAGAATCTCCCAAGAGCACAGTGTCATCAGCAAAGAGCAACTGTGACAACTCCCACTTTGTGTGTGATTCTTTATCTTTTAACTCCACGCCTCTTGCCAAGACCCTCGCATTCACTTCTCTTACAACCCCATCTATAAATATATTAAACAACCACGGTGACATCACACATCCTTGTCTAAGGCCTACTTTTACTGGGAAATAATTTCCCTCTTTCCTACATGCTCTAACTTGAGCCTCACTATCCTCGTAAAAACTCTTCACTGCTTTCAGTAACCTACCTCCTACACCATACACCTGGAACATCTGCCACATTGCCCCCCTATCCACCCTGTCATACGCCTTTTCCAAATCCATAAATGCCACAAAGACCTCTTTAGCCTTATCTAAATACTGTTCACTTATATGTTTCACTGTAAACACCTGGTCCACACACCCCCTACCTTTCCTAAAGCCTCCTTGTTCATCTGCTATCCTATTCTCCGTCTTACTCTTAATTCTTTCAATAATAACTCTACCATACACTTTACCAGGTATACTCAACAGACTTATCCCCCTATAATTTTTTCACTCTCTTTTATCCCCTTTGCCTTTATACAAAGGAACTATGCATGCTCTCTGCCAATGCCTAGGTACCTTACCCTCTTCCATACATTTATTAAATAATTGCACCAACCACTCCAAAACTATATCCCCACCTGCTTTTAACATTTCTATCTTTATCCCATCAATCCCGGCTGCCTTACCCTCTTTCATTATTTTTTTATCTTGACAAAAATTACAATTTAGCCATATTGAATAATGTTCATTAGTTTTTACCACCAAAATCACTGACTGTTGAGGCATTCATCCCACTGTTACCTGTTCGTTTTTGTCCTCCGCAAAGAATTTCTGATGGGCGATTACGTAGCCATCACATGTGTGTAAAAAGATTGTACTCCCAGTAACTTCTTCAGAAGTCCGAACAGATGGAAGCCACTCGGGGAAAGATCGGGAGAGCACTTGTACTTTTTGTCAGGAAAACTAAAGGAGACATAAAGACGTTTCGATCTGCCCCCGTCCTATGCGCATGAAACGTACAGTAGCCTGTAGTTCAGTAATGCCTGTCTAGCCAATTGCTTAAATATTGGGACGATATTTGGCGCTCTTTCAGCCTTCTGATAACTGCATCATCTCCAATGGCTTTTCTTAGATTTATCGCTAGAGGCTCTCACAGTGCCTCTACTTCCTTTCTTAGCACATAGCGCAAGGCATCGTTAGGTCCCGGTGTTCACTTTCTACATGATACAGTCTATAACATAAACCCTTCTATTACGCTGCCAACTGTAATCCACAGCGTTGTTTAAAAAATATTTCTGGCTTTTAAATTACATAAGGTATCATTCTAATTTTCTCATTTTTAGTTTCGCATTGTTTATCCAGTGTTTCACTTCGCACAGAGGCTCAGTAGTGTGTCAGTGTGGGTGTAGTGGAGGGATGTCTGTGTTGCTCAGTGAGTTGGTGTTGATGCTGGCTCTAGCTGCCGCCCAGCACCACTTCTACGATAACTACGCTTATACCAAGGTATATACAAAATTACTCTCTCTCTGTACGCATATACATTATTATTATTCTTATTATTATTATTATTATTATTATTATTATTATTATTATTATTATTATTATTAGGTGTGTGACATAGGTGATGATTGACCAGACAGGTGCGACACAGGTGAAGACTGATCAGACAGGTGTGACAGATGATGACCGACCAGACAGGTGTGACACAGTTGATGACTGACCAGACAGGTGCGACACAGGTAAAGACTGATCAGACAGGTGTGACAGATGATGACCGACCAGACAGGTGCGACACAGGTAAAGACTGATCAGACAGGTGTGACAGATGATGACCGACCAGACAGGTGTGACACAGTTGATGACTGACCAGACAGGTGCGACACAGGTAAAGACTGATCAGACAGGTGTGACAGATGATGACCGACCAGACAGGTGTGACACAGTTGATGACTGACCAGACAGGTGCGACACAGGTAATGACTGATCAGACAGGTGTGACAGATGATGACCGACCAGACAGGTGTGACACAGTTGATGACTGACCAGACAGGTGTGTGACACAGATGATGACTGACCAGACAGGTGTGTGACACAGTTGATGACTGACCAGACAGGTGTGTGACACAGTTGATGACTGACCAGACAGGTGTGTGACACAGTTGATGACTGACCAGACAGGTGTGTGACACAGCTGATAACTGACCAGGCAGGTGTGACACAGTTGATGACTGACCAGACAGGTGTGTGACACAGTTGATGACTGACCAGACAGGTGTGTGACACAGATGATAACTGACCAGACAGATGTGACACAGTTGATGACTGACCAGACAGATGTGACACAGTTGATGACTGACCAGGCAGATGTAACATAGGTGGGGACCAACCAGACAGGTGTGTGACACAGTTGATGACTGACCAGACAGGTGTGACACAGTTGATGACTGACCAGACAGGTGTGTGACACAGATGATGACTGACCAGACAGGTGTGACACAGTTGATGACTGACCAGACAGGTGTGTGACGCAGTTGATGGCTGACCAGACAGATGTGTGACACAGTTGATGACTGACCAGACAGGTGTGTGACAGGTCATGACTGCCCAGACAGGTGTGACACAGGTAATGACTGACCACACAGGTGTGTGACACAGGTAATGACTGGCCACACAGGTTTGACACAGGTGATAACTGACCAAGACAGGTGTGTGATACAGTTGATGATTGACCAGGCAGGTGTGACATAGGTGAGGACTGATCAAACAGGTGTGTGACAGGTGACGCAATGGTGTGTGGCACAGAAAATCACTTACTAAACAGATGTGGGAACACAGGTGATGGGGGAGTGCCTGGGAGAACGGGTGTACAAGGACTACCTGCAGCAGGTGTGGGCAGCGCGGCGGGCGTGCGAGGGCGTGGCAGCCGCCCACAGCAGAGTTACGCCCACGTCATCCCTTCTCTCACCCCTCACCACCTCCACTCACGTAAGTTCTCTCTCTCTCTCTGTATAAACGTAAGTAACCATTCTTACAGTATTCATTACCTTTGTAACTTGTGAGTTCATTACCTTTGTAACTTGTGAGTTCATTACCTTTGTAACCTGTGAGTTCATTACCTTTGTACCTAGTCCAGCTATCAAAACTTTGGGGCCCAGTCCCTGGACCCATTACGTACCTCTGTAATCTGTAAATACCTTTGTAACTTGTCATGATTGTGACCAGACCTACCTGGAGTTCATTACCTTTGTAAATTGTGAGTTCATTACCTTTGTAAATTTTGAGTTCATTACCTTTGTAAATTGTGAGTTCATTACCTTTGTAAATTGTGAGTTCATTACCTTTGTAAATTGTGAGTTCATTACCTCTGTAACTTGCTCAGCTATCAAAACTTTGGAGTCCAGTCCCTGGACCAATTATGTACCTCTGTAATCTTTTGACTACCGCCCACAGGATGGGTATGTGGTGACTACCGCCCACAGGATGGGTATGTGGTGACTACCACCCACAGGATGGGTATGTGGTGACTACCGCCCACAGGATGGGTATGTGGTGACTACCGCCCACAGCATGGGTATGTGGTGACTACCGCCCACAGGATGGGTATGTGGTGACTACCGCCCACAGGATGGGTATGGGGTGACTACCGCCCACAGGATGGGTATGTGGTGACTACCGCCCACAGGATGGGTATGTGGTGACTACCGCCCACAGGATGGGTATGTGGTGACTACCGCCCACAGGATGGGTATGTGGTGACTACCGCCCACAGGATGGGTATGGGGTGACTACCGCCCACAGGATGGGTATGTGGTGACTACCGCCCACAGGATGGGTATGTGGTGACTACCGCCCACAGGATGGGTATGGGGTGACTACCGCCCACAGGATGGGTATGTGGTGACTACCGCCCACAGGATGGGTATGTGGTGACTACCGCCCACAGGATGGGTATGTGGTGACTACCGCCCACAGGATGGGTATGGGGTGACTACCGCCCACAGGATGGGTATGGGGTGACTACCGCCCACAGGATGGGTATGTGGTGACTACCGCCCACAGGATGGGTATGTGGTGACTACCACCCACAGGATGGGTATGTGGTGCATAATAAACATACTAAACTAACTCTCTCTCTCTCTCTCTCTCTCTCTCTATCTATCTCTCTCTCTCTCTCTCTCTCTCTCTCTCTCTCTCTCTCTCTCTCTCAGTCGATTACAGTGAATCATTTAACACAGTAATTTAACCTGGAAAACCACAGTATTTTAACCTATAAAATCATTAATAATTTAACCTCAAAAAATATATAATGTAACATGAAAGACAGTTATGACTCACAAAATAATAAGTGACTTCTTCCTTGACCACGTCAGTGTCCACACAGACTCCTGGCACGTCAGTGTCCACACAGACTCCTGGCACGTCAGTGTCCACACAGACTCCTGGCACGTCAGTGTCCACACAGACTTCCTGGCACGTCAGTGTCCACACAGACTCCTGGCACGTCAGTGTCCACACAGACTCCTGGCACGTCAGTGTCCACACAGACTCCTGGCACGTCAGTGTCCACACAGACTCCTGGCACGTCAGTGTCCACACAGACTCCTGGCACGTCAGTGTCCACACAGACTCCTGGCACGTCAGTGTCCACACAGACTCCTGGCACGTCAGTGTCCACACAGACTCCTGGCACGTCAGTGTCCACACAGACTCCTGGCACGTCAGTGTCCACACAGACTCCTGGCACGTCAGTGTCCACACAGACTCCTGGCACGTCAGTGTCCACACAGACTCCTGGCACGTCAGTCTCGTCCACACAGACTCCTGGCACGTCAGTGTCCACACAGACTCCTGGCACGTCAGTGTCCACACAGACTCCTGGCACGTCAGTGTCCACACAGACTCCTGGCACGTCAGTGTCCACACAGACTCCTGGCACGTCAGTGTCCACACAGACTCCTGGCACGTCAGTGTCCACACAGACTCCTGGCACGTCGAGTGTCCACACAGACTCCTGGCACGTCGAGTGTCCACACAGACTCCTGGCACGTCAGTGTCCACACAGACTCCTGGCACGTCAGTGTCCACACAGACTCCTGGCACGTCAGTGTCCACACAGACTCCTGGCACGTCAGTGTCCACACAGACTCCTGGCACGTCAGTGTCCACACAGACTCCTGGCACGTCAGTGTCCACACAGACTCCTGGCACGTCAGTGTCCACACAGACTCCTGGCACGTCAGTGTCCACACAGACTCCTGGCACGTCAGTGTCCACACAGACTCCTGGCACGTCAGTGTCACCACAGACTCCTGGCACGTCAGTGTCCACACAGACTCCTGGCACGTCAGTGTCCACACAGACTCCTGCACGTCAGTGTCCACACAGACTCCTGGCACGTCAGTGTCCACACAGACTCCTGGCACGTCAGTGTCCACACAGACTCCTGGCACGTCAGTGTCCACACAGGACTCCTGGCACGTCAGTGTCCACACAGACTCCTGGCACGTCAGTGTCCACACAGACTCCTGGCACGTCAGTGTCCACACAGACTCCTGGCACGTCAGTGTCCACACAGACTCCTGGCACGTCAGTGTCCACACAGACTCCTGGCACGTCAGTGTCCACACGACTCTGGCACGTCAGTCCACACAGACTCCTGGCACGTCAGTGTCCACACAGATCCTGGCACGTCGGTGTCCACACAGACTCCTGGCACGTCAGTGTCCACACAGACTCCTGGCACGTCAGTGTCCACACAGACTCCTGGCACGTCAGTGTCCACACAGACTCCTGGCACGTCGGTGTCCACACAGACTCCTGGCACGTCAGTGTCCACACAGACTCCTGGCACGTCGGTGTCCACACAGACTCCTCCGGCACACCCCTCAGTGTCCACACAGACTCCTGGCACGTCCATCCCCGTGTCCCACACAGACTCCTGGCACGTCAGTGTCCACACAGACTCCTGGCACGTCAGTGTCCACACAGACTCCTGGCACGTCAGTGTCCACACAGACTCCTGGCACGTCAGTGTCCACACAGACTCCTGGCACGTCGTGTCCACACAGACTCCTGGCACGTCAGTGTCCACACAGACTCCTGGCACGTCGGTGTCCACACAGACTCCTGGCACGTCAGTGTCCACACAGACTCCTGGCACGTCAGTGTCCACACAGACTCCTGGCACGTCAGTGTCCACACAGACTCCTGGCACGTCGGTGTCCACACAGACTCCTGGCACGTCAGTGTCCACACAGACTCCTGGCACGTCGGTGGTCCACACAGACTCCTGGCACGTCAGTGTCCACACAGACTCCTGGCACGTCAGTGTCCACACAGACTCCTGGCACGTCAGTGTCCACACAGACTCCTGGCACGTCAGTGTCCACACAGACTCTGCACGTCTGTGTCCAACAGACCCTGGCACGTCAGTGTCCACACAGACTCCTGGCACGTCAGTGTCCACACAGACTCCTGGCACGTCAGTGTCCACACAGACTCCTGGCACGTCAGTGTCCACACAGACTCCTGGCACGTCAGTGTCCACACAGACTCCTGGCACGTCAGTGTCCACCACAGACTCCTGGCACGTCAGTGTCCACACAGACTCCTGGCACGTCAGTGTCCACACAGACTCCTGGCACGTCAGTGTCCACACAGACTCCTGGCACGTCAGTGTCCACACAGACTCCTGGCACGTCAGTGTCCACACAGACTCCTGGCACGTCGTGTCCACACAGACTCCTGGCACGTCAGTGTCCACACAGACTCCTGGCACGTCAGTGTCCACACAGACTCCTGGCACGTCAGTGTCCACACAGACTCCTGGCACGTCAGTGTCCACACAGACTCCTGGCACGTCAGTGTCCACACAGACTCCTGGCACGTCAGTGTCCACACAGACTCCTGGCACGTCAGTGTCCACACAGACTCCTGGCACGTCAGTGTCCACACAGACTCCTGGCACGTCAGTGTCCACACAGACTCCTGGCACGTCAGTGTCCACACAGACTCCTGGCACGTCAGTGTCCACACAGACTCCTGGCACGTCAGTGTCCACACAGACTCCTGGCACGTCAGTGTCCACACAGACTCCTGGCACGTCAGTGTCCACACAGACTCCTGGCAAGTCAGTGTCCACACAGACTCCTGGCACGTCAGTGTCCACACAGACTCCTGGCACGTCAGTGTCCACACAGACTCCTGGCACGTCGGTGTCCACACAGACTCCTGGCACGTCAGTGTCCACACAGACTCCTGGCACGTCGGTGTCCACACAGACTCCTGGCACGTCAGTGTCCACACAGACTCCTGGCACGTCAGTGTCCACACAGACTCCTGGCACGTCAGTGTTCACAGACTCCTGGCACGTCAGTGTCCACACAGACTCCTGGCACGTCAGCGTCCACACAGACTCCTGGCACGTCAGTGTCCACACAGACTCCTGGCACGTCAGTGTCCACACAGACTCCTGGCACGTCAGTGTCCACACAGACTCCTGGCACGTCGGTGTCCACACAGACTCCTGGCACGTCAGTGTCCACACAGACTCCTGGCACGTCAGTGTCCACACAGACTCCTGGCACGTCAGTGTCCACACAGACTCCTGGCACGTCAGTGTCCACACAGACTCCTGGCACGTCAGTGTCCACACAGACTCCTGGCACGTCAGTGTCCACACACACTCCTTGCAGCTGTGTCCACACAGACTCCTGGCACGTCAGTGTCCACACAGACTCCTGGCACGTCGGTGTCCACACAGACTCCTGGCACGTCAGTGTCCACACAGACTCCTGGCACGTCAGTGTCCACACAGACTCCTGGCACGTCAGTGTCCACACAGACTCCTGGCAAGTCAGTGTCCACACAGACTCCTGGCACGTCAGTGTCCACACAGACTCCTGGCACGTCAGTGTCCACACAGACTCCTGGCACGTCGGTGTCCACACAGACTCCTGGCACGTCAGTGTCCACACAGACTCCTG